TAAAGCCCAGGTCCAATCCTCTGTTTAGCATTTGCTGGCTTTTTAGAATTGAGAGCAACACCTTCTTGGCCTCACAGCTTGCTGTTCCTTCCTCAAATGATGTGATCTTGTCTCTCTTATCCTCACGACCACCTTCGTTTTAAGGGAGGGCATTTCGCCCCCCGCAGTGCCCCTCTCCCTTCCTTGAGCCTGACCGTGATGGGGAGCCCTTTTGCTGACCAGAGTACACGGAGAGCGGGGACAGGAAAGAGTGACAATCGCTGCCCCAGAACAGTAGCTGGGTGATGGTAACACAGCAGGAACCAATGAGCTGATTTTAAGGCTGCCTCCTGCCCGCTTGCTTCCCTGGAGAGCGGTGCAGAGGAATATCGAAGCAGTTGGTATCACACAATGGTTGATTTCTTGTTCCGAAGAATCTTTGTCTTCGATAGCGGACTTCACATCTCTGGGTTACAGTTTTTCCATTCAGAGGAGAGTGATGGCAGCATTTGTCCTAGAAGTGCACTCTGCATACTACCGAAAACACATCTTTAACGCCCCCCCCCGCACCCCAATCACCCTCAGCCTGTTGGTGGATCGTACAGTGTGGAGCTCTGACTTTGAAGCAGGACTGCATGGGCTTGTTGGCCCATGCTCCTCTTCCTTCCAGGTTCCCCCGAGATACATGATTTCATCATGCATCTCCTTCTGGGGATTTCAAAGGGTTAACATGCTCGGTTGCTAACTGAAAGGTTGGAGGCTCCAGTCCAATAAGAAGACCCTGGGAATAAAGGGCAGGCGAGCTGCTTCTGAGAAGCCATCCATTGACCACCGCAGGGAGCACGGTTCGACTCTGCCACATATGGGTAGCCATGAGTCGGCGCTGATGCAGCAGCAGCTGGTTTTAACCCATTCGGCTGGCTGTGAGGATTAAGTGATGGTTGTAACATACTCACTGGCACAAAGGTAGGACTTTAGAAGTGTTAGCTATTAATAACGGCTGCTGTTGCTGCTATTGCTACAGCTGACTTACCGTCTCAAGGGGTGGGCCTAGGACTATGCCGTTTTCCACTAGTGACTGTTACACACAGTCCATGAGCTAGCTGACCTTTAAGGTCTCACTCATCTTGAACTCTCTCTCATTCTGGACAGTACCTTTGCACCTTTGGCCTCTGTGCCTTTAAAGCAACCCAAGGCCAA